AAAATTCGCCAAATAAAAGGAAAAAAACCTAAATATCTTTCAGCCAAGTCAAAGAAGACTGATATACTCATAGCTCCTTTCCCAACAAAAGGGTCTTTTAAAAGAGGAGTATGATGAAATGACAGGTTAATGGGTGGCCAAGCAAGTTCAGGGGAAGGAAACAGCCGGCACAACTGCTGTGCCGACGCCGTTGGTAGGGCAAATATTTTGAGCGGCACATATGCTGTGCCCGCCGATGGCAAAGGGTTAAGGGCTCGTTTAAATGACAAAGGCAAATCCTCCAAAGAAATTATAAAGGAATACAATCAAACCTTTATTATTACTATTGATAACAGAATGTCTCCTGAAATAGTAAACCGACACTATCTGGCGTATAGGGCTGTCTATGGGTTGAGAAGATTTATTAAATCTAGGTTTCTTTCTAGAAAAACAAAGTTCTCCAAAGAACTCCTGGATCAAGTATTGAGAGAAATTTTCCTTCATGGAGGACTTTTTGATGGAACTTACCCGCATTTGCGTTACATGGAGAGGAAGATCATGAGAACCTCCCACAGTTAGTCTGACGCCAAAGGGACTAAAACCCATGATCTGTCTACCACTGAGGATATTTCGCGTCAGCACTGTGGTCGCTGCAAGCCGCATGCGGATTCGTATCGATCAGACACCAGTGGGATTCAAACCCAGTTCACCTCATTGGAAGGTGAGCGCTCTATCCCCTGAGCCATCACGGCTCTCTTGCAATTAATGAAAAGAATTGAAGATCAAAGATAAATCGAAATCATTATGGAGAAATCTTCAGAGGAAGGCATTGGCCCACATTGTGATGTCTGGCCAACTATGATGATGACTATCAAACCTTTAGACAGAAGGTCAGGAAATATACTGCTGAAGCCTTAAAAGAGCGGTCTCCCAGTTTAATATAAAACAAAGCATTAAAATATCTCTATTGTCTTAACCTCCAAAATGAGAAATTAATCTCGAAACTGCTTTTGTGTAATCAAGAAATCTTCGTAATTTTTATACGAATTGCTTTTTTGAAATATGAGAAATGCATAAAACCTCAAGAAAATTGTATATACTTATAATCCTTCTTGCATTTATATCGGTACATTTTAAGTTATTTGAATGCAATTAACGTAAGAAAACAGGTTAGCATTTAATATTGAAAAAGGAAAAAACTTCTTTAATATGTTTTTTAGCCTACATGCAATAGAGGCATATAATTACTGTTAAACTTTAATAATTCAAGAGTATGTCCATAACTTGAAGTACTAATTTCAATTCTTTGGCATAAAAAACACCAAAAACCAAATATTTTTTCAACATCAGGTTCGGTTAGTCCAATTTTTTGACAATATAAACAAACCTTTTTCTTTCAAACATCTAAATCAATTTTATTCTTAATTCTAATTCTATGAAAAAAAAAGAAAACAATTTTTTGAATGAATATCAACTAAAATTTTCTCTATTGTTAACTCTTTCAGGGTTGTGACCACATATCACACGATTTTCCCTTCACAATCGAAGGTATACAGGGCGCATAGATAAATCTTTCAGCAAAAAATAAGCACCTTTTAAGTACTTTTCGAGCACTATATACATTAACAAAATGTAAAATAATTTTCAAAGACTTTAGATGATTATGATAAAATAACTAGTTTCTGACAGAGAACTCGTTTCTTGATTATATTAGCCGTTATAAAATGAGATTTTTTCGGTTCAATATCAGAGAGGGGAAAATGAAGCCTGAAATGAAGAATATCTTGCAAAATGCAGCAGAGTTGCACATGAAGGTGCAATTATCTCACCGAACCCAGCTCAGTAGACACACATGCCGACTCGCAAGCATTTAATTAAACATGCAAACTGATTGCCGCTTTCATGCGCTATGGACTGACGGTACTTCGAAATGGATGGCGGTTGAATGAATTGTGAAAACGTTGAATAGAACAATGTTGAAAGCACACTATTGAATAATACACGGCTAAAATCGATATGGTAAAGAACAAAAATTTCAATTTCGAAATGAGAAAATTGAGTATTTTTTAAAAACACCCAATGAAAAAAGGATCTTTAATGGCTTTTAAAAAACCAAAATCGAAAATAAGCACCTTTAAGCACTGTTTAAAAAAGCTATGCACTATGATATTGTTCATTATTTAATATTTTAATTCGAGATAGCATAAAATTTTAGTCATAATGACAAATAATTCATAAGACAATTGCTGTTCAGAGAATTTGGTTTATTTCATAAAATAAAAAGTAATCACTTTCTCAGCAGCAAAATTCTTTCATTTCCGTAGAATAGCGATTGATGCTTTGTTAAATGAATAAAACTTCCTACTGTTGATAACTTTTTGATAAACGCTTTCATTTTTTGTTGCTTTCAGTAAATTGTGATATGTTTTCCACGTTATTAATTAAACATTATAAAAGTTATCAATTAAATTACTTCACTCTCTGATCAAGAAGTTTCTTTTATTGTCATCCGTTTTTCGTTGTGAATCTTGATTTGGGCAGGCTAATCAAGTTCTTCAAACTGGATCAACTTCAATCCAGCTCACCCAGACATAATCTATCACATGACCTACTCGAATACAGATTACGCTGTAATCTGAATTTACTCGGGCTAGTGGAAACATGGTTTAATCATATATTGTGATAAATGACAGCCTGTAATTTTTTATTACTATGGAAAATTGAATAAGGGTTTGTATTAGCTATTTTAGTTTGGATGTGATAAATGTACCGGGCATCAAAAAAATGGACCACCCTGAATAACCTTTGATCTTCACCCTCTAGGATTTAATCTTCATGGTTCGACGGGGTGACCTCAAATATGCTAACTAATTAGAGCAGACAATATTTTAAGTTATGAAATCAGACGACTCAAAAAGGTACTTCCTCTGAACAAACATGTCTTTTTTTCAACGAATTTAGATTTCTGATTCTCAAAATATAAGTGGTAGCCGAAATATGGGTCCCATAGTTTGATCAACAGAGCATTCCAAAGTTTGAACCCCTTAATGTTAATGTAACTTTGTGCGTACTTCACCACATTTCAAGAACTTTTTAAGCGAATCAAAAAATAAATTTTAGTGAATATTTATTACTTTTTATCATTTTATTTAATAATAGTTGAAAAATTTTGAATTGTAAGGTATATGATTTCTTACACCCTTTTTAAAGTAAGTAATTTTTCATGGGAAAATACAAAATTTGAGCGAAGTCGATTGAATAGGTCCAGAGAAATTGAATTGTAAATATAAGACTTTTTTAAAATTTGATTTCTCAGGAACCACTCGACCAATTTTGCACAAATTTTGTATTTTGCCAAGCAAAATTATTTACTTTAAAATGATGTAAAAAACCGAACACATTTCTATTCAAAATTTTTTCGACTATTATTAAATAAAATAATAAAAAATAATACATATACACTAAAATTTATTTATTACATCAAATTACCTTTAGACAAGCATATTTTATAATTTCTTGCAATTTTTTTAAAAAGTTCCAGAGATATGGCGAAATATACAAAAGGTGAAATTAACAATAAGGAGTTCAAACTTTGGATCGCTCTCCTGACAAAATGATCGGGACCATAACTCCCAGATTGCAGCCTCCCTTTATATTTTGGGGTCAGAAATCCGAATTCGTTGAAAAAAGATATGCTTATTCAGAGGAAGTATGTTTTTGTGTCTGATTTCGTAACTTAAAATATAGTCTGCTCTAAATAACTAGCATATTTGAGGTCAACCATAAAGATTGAGTCCTAGAACATGAAGATCCGATTAAAAGTTATTCAGGGTGGTCTGTTTTTTATTTCGCACACTGTACACAGTTTTGACTTTGATACCTCTCGACCAGTAGCAATTGTATCAGTCAAACATATTTACTTTTTCAAAGGATTCTATTTTAATACCACTAGAATCCCCGTGGCAGAATCACAGCAACATTGTCGGAGAATGTTACAGAGTTCTTGCAGAAAGAATTTTTTTGGAAAAAAATTTTTCTTTTCTTTTCTACAGAAATTTACTCCTAATATTTGAATCATGCATTTAGATAATCACTTTTTGACACGCTCAATTTACACCGATAGTATCGTAAATCGATGTAATGTTTCAATCGTATTTTCGGCAGTTATTGATATTGATTTTCACGTATATTCGGATATATTTCAAACAATATGGAAAGTTCAAATCGTGCATTCCAGTATTTACTTTTTAAGGCAATAATTCTATCAAATTTCTGTCAGTTTTTGCTATTGATTTTTCTATAGTTTTTATACGATATTATTTATTAAAACAGCCTAATCTTGAAACGAAACACAGATTTGAGGAGTCTGATTCATGTGATTTCGTTGTCGATCTTTTTTCAGCAACTACTACTGATTTCATGATTTTTAATTATTTCTTTATTGTGATGATTATTTACAAAATGCGAAGAAGAAAATAATTTGTTCATCCCCCTCCCAACAAAATTCGATAATATCACGCATAATATTAAAATAAAAAATTATTACATGTTCAATTAAAAACAAATTATATACTTTTTTCTTCGTAGACACAGCACTTTTGTTATTTTAAATTAGTAACATATATGTCTCTTATTATTAAAAGTATCTTGCAAAAACATATTAGTGCTAGAGAGTTTTGTCGCAGATAGCTTGAAAAAAATTCTGCCATAGGGATTATAATATTTTTGAAAGAGGCTTTTCCATAATGAGCATTTCTTGCTTCAATGATATTAAAGAATATTTTAATATCTCACAAAAAAACCTTACGTATTTCATTCAAATTTTGATTTGACAGTTTTTATTAATATACTTTTTTATGTCATCTGGTGATGCTTTCACCTATTATGGTTTTACTGTCCTTCAAAGTAAAAATTCCTTGACATGCCAACTAATTTTTTGATGTGATTAATTATTTCTAAATTAAAAATTTATTATCAAAATTTAATTGTATGATGAGAGTAAATAAACAGATTTTTCTTACTCCAAGTTGAAACATGCTTCCCACTTTTCAATATATTCCACTGATAAACAGTTTTAATGGAGGCAGCCAAATCAGGATTTTTCTTCAGCTTCTCCCCAAGATTCATAAAAATCTTGTCACATTTCATGGCAGGCTCAGCATCCACCTACAAAACATAGAAATATCTGGTAATAAAAAAAGTAAGTGTGCTGACTTTCAACCCTAAGAGAAAGCTATACCGTGAGTGAAACCTTCAATAGCAAATTCTGTTTCACTTCCACTTCATAACCCTGTCATAATTTGTTTGTATATTGATAATTTGAAACAATTTTTTCAATATTTCAAACTTTATGGTTTACTTGAATTCAGTTTTCTCTATAATGTAAAGTATCAGTAGGGCAGATTTGTTGGCAACTCTTTCATCAGTGCAATATTAGGTGGGTCAAAGTTGCTCACACATTAAGGACAGATAGTAGAGAGAATGAAAGAACAACCATGCCTTGTTCGGGATTCGTACTCTGGACCTTTCTGATGTGAGGTCAGCTCCCTGACCACCAGATAATCTGGTCAGCCAAGATTGTTATAAAAAATTTATAAATTTTTTTATTTAATTTAAATCTTTTTTTTATTACCAAATATATTAAGTTACAATTTAAATATTTTTATAGTAAAAAAGCTTATATAAAACATGTTTTTGAAATTTTTAATGCAATTTTTAATGGTTTTTAGAAGTATTTATAATTTATAAGAGTTTCTGGATCCTTGACCTGCTGATGAGTTAACAAATTGGCAAGTAGTGTATCAATTTTTTTATACTTTAAAACTTAAAAAGTTTCAGGATAGGAAATTAGAAAATGTTGAATTGTATTTGGGAACTGATATTACTTCAAAAAATCCCTCACTTGATTTTAAAGTCACATAACATGTAAGCTACTTACTTTTGGTTGAGGAAGAACGTTTTTTCTTGCTTCTAACAATGGTTTCAACTTTTGAGTCAACATAATATTACCCTTTAATTTCAGCTTTCCACCCATAAATGCCTATAAAAAAAAAGATTTTTTTATTTAAAAAAAAAATATTAAATTAGGTAACTGTACTATTTTAAGAGCATGTTGAACACTGAAATTTAAGTTTAAATCTTACTTTTTGTGGATCAAGTTTTCCAGTAACTAAGCCAAACATATCTTCATCATCAATAGTAAGGGTTACACCAGGTTTAAGGCCACTGATAGTTCCTTCAACAATTCTTCCTGATCCAGTTTTCAAATCAACAGCTTAAATAAATGTGAAAATTTAATAGAAAGTAATAAAGTAATCAAATTACATTACAGCTATCATTAAGAAATATAAATATTTAATGATATTAAAATGTCTAATTAACCCTCTGAGTGCTGAAGAATCAATCTTGTCCTTTATCAGTTAACGTCCAGATACATTTCTGGTCTCAAATTAGCAAAAGAAACAATTACATTTGTATGCTACAGTTGTAACTACACAAAATCATATTGGTTTTAAAATCACTGACCGCAGAATTAATGTATCTACTAATATAAGAAACAGTAGTCATAGATCAGTGATTCTCAACAATTGTGCCGCGGCACTTTTGTGTGCTGCCAAATTCTCAAAGTGTGCCGTGAAAGTTTAGAAATGATATAGTAAAAATTATAATGCTTTTTTTTATTATTACGAGTGGAGTTTTATATTTTATAACTGTCGTTGAACAGTCGACCCAATTTTTGGGTTTACGACTACTGATGTTCAACTCCGTAGCCTTGTAATTTTGAACCCAACCCAGAAGAAAAGGGAACTCCTGGATTAAGTATTGGAAGAAATTTTGCTTTCGTGGTAGACTTCTTGACGGAACTAACCCACATTTGCGTTGCATGGAAAGGAAGACCACGAGAACCTCCACTGTTAGCCTGAGGGCAAGGGGACTCCAACCCATGATCCGTCTACTACTGACGATATTTCATGTCTCACGTCAGCACTGTGATCAGTGCAAGCTATATGCGGAATTCGTATTGACCACCCACTGCCGGGATTCGAACCCGGTTCACCTCATTGGAAATCGAACGCTCTGCCCCATGAGTCATCGCGGCTCGCGAGTGAAGTTTCAATTAAAGAAAAGTATATATATATACATACTTTTATAATATTTCCATGCTTAAACAACGTAAACATCTTTGTCGGCGATAGTTCTGTCTCTGATTATCGTAGAATGTTAAAAGAAATAGGAAATTTAATGACTATTAAAATTATTTATAAACAAAAGAAAGCAAGGTAAATATTAACTTAAAAATAGAAATAAAAGCTAACAATTAAAATAAGCTATGCAATTAATAATTATAAGAACAATTCAACAAAGGATAAATAGCAAAATAAAAATCAAGTGTACAATTAATAATTAGCAAAAAACAAGTTAACAAGGAATCACAAAAAATAATTAATGTAAAAAAAAAAACAATTATTAACAATAAAAAATAATTTGACTGGGTCTGCAATCCATTTATGATACTAATACATCTGCATTTGAATTAACTTTGAAGAGGAAGAACTAATTTCGCTTTCTAATAATTGAGATTTAATTTAAAATTTTAAGAAAAATCAAATAATTTTGGATTGACATTTGATGCAATTATCCCACGAGAGCCAAAAAAGCTTTAAAACTATAATTACAATATTCTACATCTAATTTGTGTGAATTCAGATTTTCAGTATTAACTAACAAAAGAACGAGAAAAAGATCGAGACTGTTAAGTGTAGAAGATGATATGAGAGTAGCATTGTCATTTTTATGACCAAATATAAATGAAATTATCAAAAAACATCAAGCTCAAATTTCTCATTAAAAGTATTCTGATTATCAACTTGTAATTAACCCCTTATTAAAACACAGTTGTTTTCGTAGTACACATTTTATTTTACATTTAAAATTATCATCATAAACTATTTTACACAGTGTATTATAGGTAAGTAAACAGCTTTTAAACTTATTTTTTTCTTTGCGTGCCGTAAAATTTAAAAATTTTTAACAGGGTGCCGCGCCAAAAAAAAGGTTGAGAATCACTGTAACATAGATATATTTTCTGATTCAAATGAACAAAGGTAAAATATCCCTAATCAAGTGCAAAATAATACAAAACCATATCTGTTTCAAAATAACAAACAGAATTACGGTATCTAGTTATCGAAGGAAAAGATGTAATCGATTTGTTTTAATCTCTAATTAACAGGAAACACTATCAGAGATTCACATTGGATGAAGGGTATTCATTTCCACGTGAACCAATAAGGAAGCTTTAATCAGTTCATCTGAATCCACCCGTTACAGTAAATAACTGAGAGTTTGTCTTTTATCCTCCAATTCAACAGCTTAGTCATGCCTACTCTTCAATTTAGTATTAGAAAAAGTAATACGAGATTCCAACATTAACATCAGGGGAAATATTTTTAATAAATCTGTACAACTGTTGGCCCTTGCTGATGACACAGACATTATTGCTCGAACATTCATAAAAAGACAAAAGCTTTATTATATAAATCTATTTAAGATCAAGTTTAACAAATGCTTGGGAAACCTGGACCCTATCATGTACGGATGAGGTTATGTTGGATATCTTTAAAAGAAAGGTCTTGAGAAGTATTTTTGGAGGAATTAAAAAAAAATGATGTGTGGCAAAGAGCTTTATCTCTCATATAATGAACCTGCATTATTAACTTTATTTAACGAGAAAGAATAAAATGGGCAGGCTACGTTATCAGAATGAATGAAGATCATACCACAAAAAGAGTTTTCAATGCCAGACCAGTTGGCACACGAAAAAGAGGCAGGCCGAATTTGAGATGAATAGATGGCCTAGAAAAAGACCTTTTGGTCAGCAGGAAAAAGATTGTCCTGGAAAAACTTCTTGAGAAGGCCAAGGCTCACCCGGGACTGTTGAGCCACTGATGGTGGTGATGATCGCAGTAAAATTCTATGACTGACAAAGTTGATTTAATTCAAATATCTGATAACCAGAGAAATTTTAATGAATCTGTTGTTGGAAACTTGATGACAATAAACAACCATATACCACTAATCAGGCCAAGATGGTTTGCAAACTATCAGGCACTATATGCTCAAGCACAAAATACCAAAAATTTAAATTGAAATATTACATTTAAGAACAAAATTTACACTTACTCCAAATTGCGGCAGTTTTTCCATTTTGAAGAATATTCCACTCGTAAACAGCTTGTATCTTTTGTGCCAATTCTGGCATTTGCGCTAACTGATCAGACATAGTCTTGAAAATTAATTTACTTTTTAAGGCAGATGCAGGCTGCAAGTAAAAATGCAACGTTTTGCATATTAATATGTAATGTCATCAAAAACTAACATTTGGGCAATTCCATGGTGTTGGACGTGAAATGAACTAAAATTTCTTTGAATAATTTCATTTATGAACTATAAATTAAATTTAAAATGTTTAAATTTGCACTTGAAATACTTAGGTCACTATATTCTATCAAAAAATCACTTATTTTATAAAATCTGATAACAAAAAGTTCACATTAAAAGGATTTAACTGCAGGTGTCGGACATAAATCACACAAAATATATAATTACTTGGTTACGTATCCTTTAAATTCTGGGATTTGGTTTGGAATTTAATTTTAAATACAGATAAATTTTGAAGCTTACATTTAAATAAAGCAATTTAGACTGTTTTTAAAAATGTAATAAAATATAAAACTAGTTTTATATTATTTTATCTCGGTGTCAGAGGTAAATTTTTCGATGTCGGACATAAATTGTTCATTTTAAATGTAAATCAATAAATACAATTGTAAACACTGAAACTTATTCCAGTTTTTATTCTGATAATATTTTGAATTTTATTTAATTTAAATGCTTCCTTAAATTTAAGATGCTATAATTTTCTTGGTGCTATAATTTTTTCACCTTGTTTAATAATAAAAAAATTATTTTGAATTTTTCTTCATTTAGTTGACCTTACCATGGTATTGCCCATTTAATTTTAATAAAAGAAGCTTACATTGGAAGTAACTGGGCCATCTTGAAAGCTGGCGACTTTTGGGACACCCAATAAATCAATATAGCCACCTGATATAATCTTTTTACCAGTTTCTACACACTAAGAATAAAAATAGGAAAAATAATACATTTTATTAATGTAAAATAATAGCATATGTAAAGGTAATCAATTTGTTAAATTAAATATTATCAATTAGAACACATGTTGAATTTTTTAGGACTTAAAAAATAAATATGTGGAAAAAATTCATTAATTTCAAAATGAAATTAGTACTTTTTTTTAAATCTAAAAATAAGTTACGTTTCTTTTTTTCAAATTTAAACTTAAAATAACAAAATGACAATTAGTAAATCCTTTAGCGCCCACAATATTATTTTGGGACAGTTAACAAATATATCATAAGCTTATAGTACATATTTTACATATTTCAGTGTTTTCACTAATATATACATACTTTTNTCTCACCCATTTTTTTTCTATGATGAAAACACTGATATTTGATTAACAATTTTTGAATATTTACTTTTCAAAAAGTTTTATCAAAAACAATATGCAGCAATGGTTTGGTTAATCACGTAGAATTCTTAATTTTCAAGTCATACTCTGAAAACATCTTATCCATCTATATATATAACTTCTTGACTTTCTTCATTTTTCTTTTTTGTACTGTATTGTGCTATATATATATATAAAACACACAAAATATTAATGAAAAGCTGTGACTTCAGCTCAAATGGACTGATAATTAATAAGCTATTAAAGAAATAAAAATTATATTCTTTTAAAATATTCTTTACAAAATGAAAAGCTAGATTTTTTTTTATAATAATGTGTATAAATGTGTGAACAATATAAATCAAATTATCAAAATCAATTAACAGAGCTGTTACTTTAATAATTTTATTTTTGTAAAAAGGATCGTAGATTTAAAACATTTAGTTTAAGATCAAATTTTTTTTAACCTTCTTTAGAGATTTAAAGTAGAGAGCAATTGATAAATCTATAGAAGTTTTATTTAGAGTAATAAAATAATTAATTCTTTCCTAGATAACTTAAATCAGTGTTACTTTGTAACTTCTTTGTACAAAAATAAATAAAAAAGTAGATTATTTCAATACTTCCTTCATCTTCATCCAAAAAATTATTGTAACTTGAAAAAAATGTTCTTAAATGATTATTAATATAAATAGAATTGATATAATAGAGCATTTTCTATCTCAGAAAATATTAGTATATTATGGCAACTTTCCAATTTCATAGAACTGGCAAAATCAGGATCCTACCTGATGACTGTTTAGTTATTCATGGGTTAAACAAGCTTATATATATACATTCTAAATTTTTAAAAAGCAATGCTAAGATAAGTAATGAAAATTTATAATTGATAAGTAGGTAGGTAGGTACTTTATTTACGTCACATGCCGTTTTGATTTGTTCAAAAACTTCACTTCGAAAAAGATATAAATATTTTCTAACACATTGATTTGTATATTCTTAAATACAAGTACACAGAACTTGGTAGGAAATTTTTTAAATGAATACAAAAATATCACTGGATAATATATTGTTCTAGAACAGGGGTTTCCAACTTACATGCGGCCGGGGCCACAATTAAAAGCACCAATCAAATGGTGGGAGCAACTTTATCAAAACTTTATATAAGACTCTTTTATGTTTGTATGAACATAAAATATTACTGTTAGATTTTCATTAAAGGTTTTTTTAATATAAAAAGCAAAATAACAAGCATTACAAATAATGCCTGTTACAAATAAACTTAGTGACAAGATTTTTTTATTTTAAAATTAATTCTGTGATAAATTAACAATTTTTCGACTTTTTAGGAATTATAGCAACAACAACAACAACAAAAAATTCTCGAGCATCTGAAATTAAATTTTTTTTTCTTCTCTGCTCATGAGATTTTCAATTCAAGGAATTTAAATAAAAGATGATATTCATTCCCCTTTTTATGCATTTTAAAATTTACAAATGTAAATAATTTCTTCCAAAACGAGCGGTTTCAAAAAGTCAAATGGGAGAATTTCTTCGAGAAAATTTGTGATATGTACACGCTTAATTTTATTCACAAAATACAAAAAAACTAAAAAAAAAGGGCAACATACATGATTATTTTTGTATTTGAATATATTCTTGGATGCAAAACCTGAGAAATAAATTTTTTTTGCACCCTTAGTATGTTAAATTTCACAGAAACGAAGAAAGTAGGTTTTTTCAAATGAAAAAGTATTTTAAACCCATATAGATTTTTTTACGAAAATTGTCCACAAAAAAACGACAACTAATATATTTTAGTTCGTGGGCCACAGAAAAAGGTTTCAGAGGTCGCCAGTTGGTAACCACTGTTCTAGAAACAATGAAATTATAAATAAAACGAATGCTTACAGAACTTTCAAAATGAATCCTACTACCTTCCTTCCACATTTCTGTTCGTAAAGTGTGCCCAGGAATAATAGGATTGGCAAACCTAGCCTAGAACAAAAGATTATTTGTATTCTATTAAATGTATTCAAATTGGTCAGATATATAAATTTTGAATTTTCTTGTGGAAAAAGATATATCGAAAACTATATTTTGAACTTACCATAACAGATTTAAACATGTTGACATCATAATTAGCAAACTGTTTTAAAACATGTCTAGTAGAATAACCTAGAGAACAAAGACCATGCAGAATAGGCTCAGGAAATCCTGAAAATCAAATAATTTTATTTTGACAGTATAATGGAAAATGTAACAATAACTTAGAATATTTTAATAACTTTATAACTAATATTAAGTACATATTACCTCCCATAGCAGCAAAAGCTGGATCAATATGAATGGGATTTTTATCTCCACATAATCTGTAGAGAGCAGCCTAGTTATAAAGAAAAATATAAGAGAATTTTTTTAACACACTTAAAGTACTTAAAACATTATCAACACAAGAACTTTAAAAAAATTAATTTTACGTGGGACGAAAGGGGTTGAAAGTGACAGTTTTACGAGCTCGAGAGAGAGGATTTTTTTCTCAAGACCACATTCAATTGTCAAAGAGGTTTCAGAATAAAGCAGGAAAAGACAATTTCAGTTAATCATCTTTAATTAATTTCAGGATGCATAATGAACTTTTTCAACAAAAAAATAAGCACTTTTTAAGCACTTACAATATTTTAAGCACTTTAAAAAAAACTATCATATGTAGGATATGCACACTAATAAAAAAATTTTCTTTCCATTGTTGAAAGTTTTCATACATATTAAAAAAATACAAAATTATTTTCAAAGACCTTACATCAGGGATGGCGAACCAATGGCACGGTACGCAATACTTTGGGCACATCACCGATCACAATTGTTGTTACACTATGAATTGTTATTACACAAATGCTAGTACGCTATGAAGCATATGTCACAATTAAATTAAAATTCACAAAAACAAACAAAATAATAAACAATTATTAATAAAAAAATTAAAAATTAATACTAAACAAACAATTAATAATTGTAAAAAAACAAGCTAACAATAAATAACTAGCAAAAAAAAATCAGCAGTACTGCTTAAACTAACATCTTACAACCATAAGTTATTGGTCATCTAATCTACAACAACAGAAGTCACACTGATGTTAGCTTAAGTTGAATTACGTGTATAACTGAGACATTGCAAAATGTATTTTTTTTTCAATGTAAATAAAGAGTTTTGAGCTAATAGTATTTAGTATTATTATTTTCCCAATAATCATGAAATCAAAATTATTTGACGGCACGTCTGCGATTTCATTAAACAATTTTTTAGAGAAAATGGCACGTTGGTGTATAAAGGTTCGCCACCCCTGCCTTACATGATCATGATAAAATAACCAGTTTCTGACGAAGAATTCTTTTCTTCAGTATATAAGCTACCAAAAAAAAATTATACATAATTTCAAATATATTCAATATTGAGTGGCTCTTTCTATTTTTTAAATTAAGAATTATTTAATAATTTAATAATAAAGTTAATTATGTAAAAATTTTTTCATTCGAAATTATAATTAATTTAACTATTATTTAAAATGTTATTGATTGTATTTTTTAGATTTAAATAAAAGTTATTTATAAAAACATATTCAACAAAACATTAACAAGATCATCATTTTTATCAGCAGTAGTTTTCAAAGAAGCTACTACCTCATAAATTTATAAAATTGCAAAAGCTTTAATGTTTTGGAAATTGTTAAATTTAATTTTTTTATTTTTGGTTCATTGACAGTACCTCACAACCACTCGCATTAGAAAGAAATTTATACCATACCATACACTATATGATGCAGACTATTTTAATTCGATTAAGTGTGAATAATGAAAATTGAGAATTCACTGGAATGAATTTATCTAAAATGATACTGACCTGATCAACTGAAGTTTTGTTTTCCAAAACAGCATCAGGTTTCCTGTTGGGAGCAGATGCAACTTTCACGGCTTTATCAGTTGAACGTTTACCTCCAAAGTTACCGGCACCAACGAGAAAAATAGTCCACTCAGAACGCATCACTAGCTCATTTGATTCATTAAAAGTCTCAGCTAAAAACAAAAGTATTAACAAAAATATTAATAAAAGATTACAACACTATCAAAACTACAGTCAAACAATGCATTTTTAAAATTATTTTCGTTTAATAGCTCCATCATTCATAGCAAAATCATTTACATCTGGTACAAGTAACGAAAGTAAAAGGTAACATACCTTTATTTGTACTTCATTACTCTTTAAATGTGCACTTTTAATTGTTTTTTGCTTTACTTTTATTGGGAAAAAGTATAACTGTTTGAAATGAAAAATCTTTACTTTTCAAATACATTCCATTACAAGTAACGAAAGTAAAAGTATTGCCATGAATGTTCCTGGATTTTAAAAGACGCAACTTTAGATGTTATACTGCATTTAAAATAATGGTATAAAGTGGTTTCTGCATAAATATTTAGAAATAATAACTTTAACATTAAAATTTTTAAATCATGGTTCCCACTCAAATTCACAAAAGAAAATTCCCCGACTCTTCCAGGTATATCAGATAAATTTCAATGAAAATCGAGACCATATTTTCATCAGAAAACTTTGATTCTTTTATTTGTAATGGGAAATATTAAATTTTCTGTGTAAAAAAATATCATTAAATGAGGAAGAGAACATTTCAGTTTGACTAAAATGTGAAATTTTTACATGAAATAATTGTAATAGATGTTAGGATTATTTAACTTGAATCTCAGTAACTGATTACTGTTACGGACAATTTTAAGACTGGTCATTTTCCAGGTATGATGTAGAAATATTCCAGGTTATTGTAAAAAAATTGAAACTTTCCCTGATTTTTAGAGTTAAAATAAAATTCCCTTATAATTCCAGGTTTTCCCTGACCCGTGGGAATCTTGTTAACTTCATTAAATTTAACATATTTAAGATCATAATGAACAAGTTTAATACCTTCAACAATGGCAACAGCTCCAGAGCCCTTATCTAATATGTCAAGTAATCGGCACTTAGTTTTAAGCACAGCTTCTGGTTGTAATGGTTTGTAAAGTTCTAAGTACTGTTCACCATGCAGCAACTGAGAAAAAATTATTAGCATATCAAACAAGACATAACAGAACATGACAATAAGCACGAAAAAATTTAAATCAATACAAAAACTATGGGATAAGAAAAAATGGATATAATCTAGATTAGCTGATTGAAATGGATTCACTTAAACAATAATATTTCAAAAGAACCGAACTAGAACATGTAAATTAAGTTAAACAACATGATTTATATTTAAAAATGTAAAGAAGGCATTTCCCTCACGGCAAAAACTTTTTTTATATATGATAAAAAATAAATTTCATTAGTAAAACCAAAATAATAATTTAATAATACACTTAATGATTAAAATAATTTATTTAAATCATATTTAAAAAACCCAAGTTTTTAAAAAGTATTTGAAAAAGCATTTTTCCAATGAATTTTTGTTATGAATAAAATTGCGTTCATGATTTAAAATTGCGGACTGCATGACTTAAAGTGTCCTTTACTTATTAGGAAAACGAACTATGTAAAAAAGAAAAAACTCTATATTATCATTAAAAATCACTCTTTTTTTTGCATCTTTTCATTTTCTAGTACTCTCTATACATTTTTATCATTTAATTTATTTTTCAACTGTCGTTGAACAGCCGATCCAATTTTTTGGGTTTACGACTACTAATGTTCAACTCCGTAGCCTTGTAATTTTGAACTGAATACAGAAGTCAAGGGAACTCTTGGATCAAGTATAGGGAGAAATTTGCCTCCATGAAGGACTTTTTGAAGGAAATAACCCGCATTTGCATTACATGGAGAGGAAAACCACGAAGAGCTCCCATGGTTAGCATGACAGCAAGGGAATTCTAACCCACGATCCGTCTACCACTGAGAATATTTCATGTCAGCACTGTGGTCGATGCAAGCCGGATGCGGAATTTGTATCAAACAGTCATTGCTGGGATTCAAACCCGGTTCACCTCATTGGGAGGCAAACTCTCTATTCCTGAGCCACCTCGACCTTTTTCTTCATTTCATTTTAGAACCGTTGTTGAAAAGCCGACACAAATTTGAAGTTACGGCTACGAACGCCATAGCCTTGTAATTTTTAACCCAATCTAGAAGACAAAGGAACTCCAGGATCAAACATCGAGAGTTTTGCCTTCGTGGAGAACTTTTCCGAAGAAACTAACCCGCATTTGCGTTACATGGAGAGAAAAACCACGAAAACTTCCTACAGTTAGATGACGGCAAGGGGACTCTAATCCATGATTCGTCGATTCCACTAGCGATCTGCCCCAAACCCCCCAAGGCGAAATTAGAGGGAGGATAACGAAGGGGTAAGTGTGAATAGAAGACTTGACAAGAGTAATAGTCAACTGGAGGGGTTTAATAGGGGTTACTTTCAAATTTTGCTTGGCTTATTTGTAAGTAGCCAAGAACTNTTAATCAGTAACATTAACATTACTACATTAAATACTAACATTAAATCACTAACATTAATTACTAAATTTTTAAAAAGGAGAACCAAACATAAAACATAAAACAGTTTTCATTTCAAAGATATACATGGCACAATAAAAACAAAAAGAAAAGAGAAAAACGAAGAAAATTTATAAGTTTTATTAACTGCGCATAAGCTGCAAGTATATAGAATTCATAAAATAAGTTGAAATATTGAGAAATGGAAAATAATAAAAAATAACGACAAGAGGAAAATTAGAGATTATATCTTTTGCTTCCCGGAATTTTAATAATTTTTTTTTTAGATAATTAAAAAATATTTTTAATAACTTTCCTCTCCTGTCATTATTTTTCATATTTTCTCATAATTGAGAAATTCGATTAAAAGTGCTTTCATTGTTTTTAGTAGAAAAATATAGGCATTTCTGTAAATTAATTATACAACATATATCTATTTAAGTAGATTTTTTTAACATACCTTTAACACTAAAATTAATCTTTTTTAAGATTATGGCGTCTAACCTTCTTTGCTTGTTATGTTGTTTGGGCATTTGTGCTTGATTATTAGAAATTCAACAAACAGAGAGTTTTAAAAAAAAAAAATTCGAGATAGGCATGAATTAACCAAGCTGGTGTATTTTAAAATATCAATTACTAAAATATTTTTTCTCAAAACTTATGTCTTTTGTTTTCTGAAATGAAACTTATTAGATAAAGAGGTTTTCTAGATAAAGAGGTTTAAGATAAACAGGTTCAACTGTGTGTGTTTAGATATATATATAAGATCTACTAATAGATATATATATATATATTAGTAGATCTTATAAAATAGTCCAGTCACCTAAAGATGAAACACTTTACTCTATTTAAAATAGATATAAGACCATGAATTGTGTATCACATTTATCAAGGTAAAGGTAACTTCACTAATACTAGAGAAAAAGCTCTTTAAAAAATGAAAATGCTGATAGATAGATATATTTCAGTAGTTGATCTTATGAAATAGTCCAGTTATATGAAGATGTAACACTTTATTTGATTTCAAATAGATATAAAACCATATGTAGTGTTTATCACATTTATCAAGGTAATGGTAACTTCACTACCACTAGGAAAAATCCTCTTTAAAAAATGAAAATGCTGACAGCAATACAAAATTATATAAATTTGTGTCATTGATTTTATAAGATATACTTGTCATAGAATGGTGTACTATTACAGATCAAACGAAGTTTCATTTCAGAAAACAAAAGACATAAGTTTTGAGAAAAAATATTTTAGTAATTGATATTTTAAAATACACCAGATTGGTTAATACATACATTTAGAAATATTTAATTATTCTATTTTCCAATTGAAAAACAGAAGTTTCTGAAATTAATGTATATTTTATGTAATATAAAGTTTCTGTGATAATATTTTATGAAGGGACAACCATTTTCACTTATTACAGAAGTTAGTCTAAGAAGATTAGAATTATTAAAGAACAATTTGAATTTGCAGATGATTTCTCCCATTTAGCCTAGGAGAATTGAAATTTCTCCAATTATTTGCATTTTATTTCAAACTTACCTTTCTGCCACACAAAACCACAACAGTCTGGAATGTTCACTTATTTAAATCAGTTTTATTGAAATCACAATTAAAATCAAGAATTAAACCAACTGTTTTTACTTAATCACATAAATCAAATAATTTTTTAAAAAAATATTTCAATAGATTTTTTATTGATTTTCATAATTTTAAAATTCAGTTTAAATATATTAATGTGTTAATAAGTTACAATTATCAAAATTGCATAAGTACTTAGCATGAAATAAAATAGAGCACTTTTGAAAATTTTTCAAAATTATTGGAATTCAAAATTATTGTATATTTCATTGTGAATTTTTCAGAATGGAAACTGAGAATTAAGTGAAAGTTCAATGCTGTTAATAAATATAGATTTCTTAAATTAACTTTTAAAAAAAAGATCAGTGGAATTAATTTTGGGATTTTTTTTAATCTTTTTTTCAGTAGTTAATAATGGATACATTTCTTTTTCATTTTAAATAAACTTTAATTATATTTCTGCTTGTATGAAACAATTTTTAGTGAACTAATATAGTTTGAAATGTGTATTGTTGATTTATTTTTAATAATATTTAATGTCTTATGTAATCGAGTAACATAAGACATGTTAACTCGATTCTATGGTGGGGTACCGTTTCATAGATGAAGGTTGACATTGTCAGCTACCATCCCTACAGTAAGTTTCACAAGAAAAAGAAAATAGCAACTGTACCCGCTAAAGCATATAGAATAGCCTTATCCTGATCATAGCAGTAAGAGTCTGGATCAACAGGTGCTCTTTTGGAAACTTTAGGTTGAGCACCACCACCAGTGAGTGACTCCATCAATTGCACAGTTTGTTCTAAAAATAATAATAATAAATATATTTATGAAAAGAATGGAGTATTAAGACAACATTAATTCATAGCTTTAAAAAAATATAAACAAATGAATAAGAAACTGTCGAAATTGGGTGCCTTACGGATCGTGTTTTCATTATAAATGCAAACAACAATCTTGATCTCTTGATCTGCTCTACTTCCGGTTAGAAAGAATACAGCTGCTTACTACAGCTTATGCTGCAAGGTGATATTGATAATTTTATTTTTAATAAAAGAAATAAATTTTATAATTTCTTAGCTCAAATCTGAGTATTTTATAAGATATTATTGAGATTAAGTAATTCTGGAGAGTTTGAAGAGAAAATTTGTTTTAGTTATTTATAAATAAATTGCTAAAAAAATGCTAGATTTAGAAAGAGCTCGCTTTTTTGGCAGTTCTGATTTAGCCCATTTTTACTTGTTTATCACTGTTTGTTCTTGGTGCATGCCATGCACCATCATATGCAAGTCTTAGCTTATTGTTCGAGTTGCGATATTAGGTCCATTTTACAAAATAATTATTTAGGTTTAAATTTCGAAGTTGGAATATTGTTAACAAAGTAAAAAGTGTTGTATAACAATTCTTTTTTCAAATGACAATTCTTATGTCTTGAAATGACAGGCCTTTAAATGATGATTCTTATAACGATTCTTCATTTAAACACAAATAATAAATCAAGTAACAAATATTTGTATACAAGAAATACTACTCAAGAGAGTCTCAAAACACAAGGATCACGTTGTGAGCCAAATAGCTTCAAAACACACCACAAACGGTTACCCGGAAGTATAGGCAGTCAAGAGCTTGCAGCGATCCCTGGTGTAGAAAACACCATCCATATGGCACATAATTAAGTACCGTATTAAATACTATTATTAGTAAATGAAATGAATAACTTATTTAAAATGACAAACAGTTGAAAAATACACTTTAAAACAAAATACAAGCTTTGTCATAATAGTTTGAATTACATAGGTAAATAAAAAAAATACAATTTTGGTCAAAAATGGTTTTTATGAATTTAAGTATTTTAAAATACTCGTCCCAAATAATGAGAGTTGTGTTAAATTAAAAATCTAACCCCTATCTTACATTTTGATTACATTCAATTTATAAAATGCAAATTTTATTTAGTAAAGAAAAAAATATAATGCATACTTAAAATAAATAAATGATACAATTGGGTACTTGCACTTCAAAAAGACCTCCCATACCCACAGTCAACCTATGACGTCAACACCAGCTAATCTTTATCAGCAAAATGACATATTAAAGTTTAGCTAAGTATCTCTACATAACTCAGAACGTTTAATTAACTATAAGTTAATTAAATGCACATTTGTTGGAATATAATTTTTATTCGTCTACTTCTTTCACTTAACTTACATTTATTATTTGTTAATGTATTTTATTGTAACGGTGATATATTTTTGTCTTGTGTACCTGGCAACTTCGATGTCTAATTATTTGTTTATGTTCTACATGGCTTTGTGTTGAGTCTGTGTAAATATATAGTGCAAGAATTGAAATCTTTGAGAAAGAATCTTTATGGAAGAATTTAGAATGTGTCACTTAAGAGAATCGATACTTGACGGGCATGGCTTACTCAAAATATAATGGAAAGAACAGTTGCTAACGTAAACAAATGCCAAACTTCAACAACCAATAAGGATAGGGATACCCACACTAACTTACTTGCAGGTATCCAATTAAAGAAAAATTAACATTATTTAACTTTAATGAATTTGTAAGCAAACAAGTATTTAAATTTATTAATTTTGAAAAATGCAAATATGAGAACATTTTTTCATTAAAATTGAATAAACCATCTAGTTTATTCAGGATGTAGATATGAATCTTACAGTTTATGAAGCTATTTTCAACTCCAGTAGCAGTGTACAGGAAAAAAGAAATCTATCTTAACATCAACAACCTTTTAATTACATAAATTAATGAAAGTTAATCTTATTCCAGCATTTTAGTGAAAATCAGAATGCTAGTCAGCAGCTACATGTGTCTATTCATAAAAGAACAATTAAGAAACATTCTAATTAATTCAATGTAGAAAAAAGAAACAATGGCTTATTTGATGAAAGCTAAAGATAAATCTGGTTTGACACAGATAGGAATCTTTGTTGTGTCCCTTTAGAAACTATTCTTCTAATTACACAATAAAGAGATTTTAAGTTATATGAGTTGTTTCTAGAACAAGCTCCAGTAAAGAATACTTAACTATTGTTCTTTTTTCAAATCTCTGCAATTAAACGTATGTAGTTTCTACACCAGTATTATATATTAATCATTTCATTTATTTACTCAGAATTATATAATTATAAAGAGAGGATTGAAAATATATTAAATTTTTTTTAAATTTAATCTATTATTCCCCAAGCAGCAATTTTTTAATAATATTCTGTATGTAAATACAATATTGCCTCCAAATTTAAGGATGCTGAATCTCTAATGCGAGCAATTTGTACAATATCAACATGGGTTCACAGATATACTACAATTGGTAATAGTTTTTCCACTTGCACATTTAAGTGTAAGAAAAAACATTTAAAATTTATTATAATTTTTTTTTTACATTACAAATTTTCATTTTACAAAAAAAGGAGAGTCTAAATATGTTAAATCGTTAAGTAGCATTAAAATATGAGGATTCTCTTGTGAAAATCAGTAGAGTATGATATAGTGATGAGGAGGGAGTAGAGAGATAAGAGCTTTTAATATATTTCTTCCACATTGAATACTTTTATGCCATCAAATCAAGGATAATTGTCTCTAACATTGGAAGTAGATAAATATAGTACTTGACACGCTATGAAGACTTTGTCCCTCATTTTGTCATTTACTTTATTTCATGGCATATAATTTTTTAATTTGAAATTTCTTCAATTCTTTCTTCGATAAATGATATTTATTCTTGCTGTTAACTTTTTGGAAAATCACTAACATTTCAATGAAGTAATTTAAGGACAACTTTGAGCTCTGCACTCTCATGTGATTCTGTTAGATTAAAAAAAAACATTTGAATTTCTTGGTTTAAAAGCGGGTCTTTATTTAAAATATGATTTCTCTACAACTTTATCAAACTTGTTACGCCCTGTAAATATTAATTTTTGTAAGCAGCACCATTAACATTAATTGTTATATAAATAAAAAAAATACCTAAAAAATGTTGTTTGATATCTTTAAGTTTACTTTGAAAAGTTAGAAGATCCATATACTTTAAAGACAATAAACAAAAATTTCAAGAAAATTTTACATTAATAAAGATTATAAGAAAAGTATTCTGAAAACTTTTCTCTATTTCATTTTAAGCACTCAAAAAATAATTTTAAGCACTTTAAAAAAAGAAAATCATAAATAAGATATGAGCAGTAATAAAAAAAAATTCTATCGTTTAAAATTCTTAATTTACAAACATAAAATCAGTAAAACGCAGAAAAATTTTCCAAAAAATTTACATTATCATGATAAAATAACTACTTTCTGATGAATATTGCAGAGAAAATTATGAAAATCATGCTTTTTCTGCAATTTATGATGATAATCAATGACAAAAAATCTCTTTTTAAAATATAGAAAATTAAGCACTTTTTACAAACCCTGTGAAAAAATGCAATTTATGATGATAATCAATGACAAAAAATCTCTTTTTAAAATATAGAAAATTAAGCACTTTTTACAAACCCTGTGAAAAAAAAAACCACCTTTAACTTCTTCCCTTACCAATTTTTTTGAAGAAAAAAAAAGCAAAATATCAACATATTTCTTATATTATATCAACATATTTCTAATAAATAAAAGGAACTAAAACAAAACGCAATACAAAAGTCTTAAGGTGAAATTTAAATTTTTTTTATGTGTAAAAAGCATGAAATTTACCATCAGTTTACTATTCTGAGTTATCTTGGGCAAATTAAAAAAGTTAAATATTAATCTTTTTACATGATCACATCTTCATAATCTGAAAGATCCTCTGCATTACTTTCACTTTCATACTTGAACTCCCTTTTTTTAAACTGTTTTTTCTATGTAAATTCAGCAACCATCGTATATACAATCACCCAAACCACAAGTGCAGACGCACAATCCAACAGCAAAACTCAAAAACAAAACTTGGCAAACTTCCAATCACATCAAATTATTATTATTATTTTTTTGCTTTTGGCTAATTAAAAATGTGATAAAACAAATCACACTGACAAATTCTGTTATGTTGGAGTTTTCTCGGGATAATAAATATTTGGAATATATACATATCACAGTTAACTCAGGATAATCAGGGAAGTCGTTAAGGACAATTAAAAACTGTAAATAAAAAAGAAGCACTTTAAATACGCTATGCACCCTGATCATTATAATTACATATGATGAATCATACAACTTAAAGCAAAGAAAAACAATCAAACAAACCTTGAAGGTTACTAGGGTTGCTAAAGTCAGTCATGTCGGTAATGGAAGACCAATTGTCTCTCACTAAAACATTAAGTATTGAATTAGAATTTTGGAAAGCATTAATTAAATTTAAATAATAAAAATACTTAAATAACAGTTTTACCAGCTTCAATAGTTAAGGTACTTGGAGGAATGAAAGCTTTTCCAATGGATCGCTGCCACTGGTCTACACATAAATAAAATAAATAAATAAAATAAACGTTTCGTAAGCAAAACTGAATACAATCAATAAAGTTTATCTATACAATAAAAAAATCTACTAACAAGATTGCCACTCAAATGTAGAAAAAAAAATTTATGTGTTTTCCCTGTACATACTATACATAATATATTAAGAGGGAACAAGAAATCGCTGTGCTCTTGTGTGAGATATATTAGGCTAACTATACTAGTTTTAATAGTTGGAAAAACTTAAAGAAATAAGGAACAGCTTAACTTACTTAAAACAAATAATGCTATAGCAAATGAAATAGTTTAGAATAGCAGAAATATCATCCTTAAATATCCCATAGATTACATTTTGAGAGGTCATCATTTTTTAAAAGATGAAAATAAGAAACAAAATTCCCAGTTTGTAAAGAAAAAATCAAAATTCAGTGAATTTTCCCTGTTATTTTAGGTGATTTTTAAATTCCCTGTATTTTCCAGGTATTCCATATTCTCCCTGTGTAGTGGCAACCTTGATTAAGAGCCAAAGAAGTATTAAATTTTTTTTATATTAAGATATTCATTGTATCAAAAATTAAGTATGGGCATCTTAGACATCCAATTTTTGAAGGGGACAAAATTAAAATAAACACTTCCAATAATTTTTAAAATTTCATACAGGAAAAACAAATTAAGTAAACGGATAATAACACCTGCAACTATTTTTATTATTAGTCTGAAACATTAGAGGAGATATTTTGAAAAGTATAATTATTAAGTATGACACATACCTACTATCCCACACACTAATGACCCCCACAAAATCAATTCAGACATATAACGGATTCACACAGACATAAGGTTTTTTTTTTAAAAAAATTTATGTCACAGTATTATATAATTTTTTATTGTCTGAAAATATTCATATAACTATGATTAAAATAGAACACATTATTATTAAAATAGAATAACTAAAATTACATTATGATTACACATTATGATTAAAGTAGAATAACTAAAATGAATTCTAAAAAAAAAATACAAAAAATAGTTAAAAACTAATGTTTTTAAACAAAAAATTGGTGTATCATAGTATTGAAATACTTTCTAAATAAAACATTTAACTTAGTGATAAAATTTTCTTTTCGATTTGAATTTTTTCATTAATTTTTGGTAACATACATAGAAGAATTTATTCCATAAAACTTATTCAATAATTTGAATAAAACCCATACACAATAGTAGTAGAAGTAAAAATGACTACTTTTAACACATAAGTTTTGCCTAAATAAAAATTAAACAATGTTTCTAATTATGTTTCTTCAGATGTATGCATAGATTTTATTTTTTTTTTAAAAAAAAGACAATAATGGTTAAAAAAAGTATTTTATTTTCTTGATTTTCGAAATTAGATAAAAAGATGAATGCAATTTATATATATATAATAGAGAAAATCTAGAAAAAACATAAAAAATATTAAAGAATAATGAAATACGAAGATTATTAAAATAAAATATTTAAAATATATATATAATAAAAAGCCAAAAAACAATATAATGAAAAGAGATAATCTCTTCATCAGCAATCACACGATTATATCCGCAAAATGAGTGATTTCTAATATTGTATCAATATAGCCAATATAGCAAAATATATCAATACTTAAAATATATCAACAGGAGCACTCAAAAAAAAGAAAAATTAAACAAGATAGAACACCTTAAGTAAAAAATATTTTATTTCTTCTTCTCTCTTCATTATCTTTAATATTTTCCATGCTTTCTCTATATTTTTAACTTATTTCATGAGTTCTATATACTTTTGCAGCTTATGTACAGTAAATAAAACTTATTAATTTCCTTAATCTTCGTTTTATACTTTTTGTCCTATACATATATACACATCAGGGGTCTCTAAGTCTTTTTAAGAGGTGCCCATTTTGTGAAAATTAATTAACATTAACAAAATTAACACAAAAATATGGTAAAGTAAGGAAATATTTTAAAAAATTGTCACTACAAATATAAATTATTTTTGACTGGTAAATTTCTATACATTTTTCCCTATATATTCAAAAAAAATTTTGCTATTGTAAAATTTTGAGCAAAAAATTTTATCCAAATTTCAAAATCCATAAAAATTATTGTCCATAGTTAAATTTCAACTTGAATTTAATAAAAACATGCATTTAACAGTACTAGTACTAAAAGTTATTTAAATTACAAGGACATTTTCAACTCTGTCATATAGAAAACAGTTTCACAGAGAAAAAAAATGGTTCATAAAAAAAAATAAAGGTCTGTTAGAATAAATTTACAATAGTGTTTAAGACAATGTTCAAATTTTGACTTCCTGTAAAGTTTATACGGGGAGAGCCTCGTTGTTTCATTTTAAAAAACTCAGCAAAAAATTAAGCTTGCTTTGATATGACGTAAGTGGCCGGTTAGATTTACAACGTTTCATTGTCTGACCAAACACATGCTACCTTTTCGTAAAAGGTAGCTGGTAGAAAAGCTCCTCTTTTCCATAGATTGCAACAAGAACGGGGTTTAAATGAAAACTTGCTTTTTTATTTGTGAAACTAACGTTTTTCCTAAAGTTGAATTAGCAAAGGTACCGCTAAACGGTAGTAAATTTACCCTGGACAGATCCCTGTATATATATATATATATATATGTTTACAGTTTTGAAAAAGATAATGCAACAAATCAACAACGGCTTAGGAAATGTGTTTTGTAAAATATCATACTTACATTTTCCTACCCAACCACCAGCTGCTTCAATTACAGCACCAGTGTCTGGACAGGATTCGTGACACAGCCAAGCCACAACTGGGCTGACACATGATGGTTTCAGCTGGTCAAAAATGTCTAGCAAAGAAAATTTATTAGCCGATTAGTTATATAAAATCAATAAATCAAGTGTGGCTAACACTGAAAACTTTTGTATACTACTATGACCCAGTGTTGTAGCAAATAGTAAAATTTGTACCAATCGGATACTTGGACTTCAAGAATACCTCCCATACTCACATATGTCAGTCCCAGCTAATTTTTATCAGCAAATTGACATATTAAAGCTCAGCTAAGTTTCTCTACAGAAGTTAGAATGTCAATAAATGATAAATTAAATACAGATTGCACATCTAATTAGTTGAAATATAATTCCTTACTTCTTTTACTTAACTTAGATTTATTATTTCTTAATGTATTTTATTGAAACCGTGATACATTTTTCTTTTGCGTACCTGGCAACTTTGATGCATAATTAGTTTATGTTCCACGTGGCTTCATGTCTGCCTTTGTGTTAAGTCTCTGCGTAAATATATAGTGAAAGAATTCAAATCTTTGAGAAAGAATTTAGAATGTGTCACTTAAGAGAATTGATACTTGGTGGGATTGGCTTACTCAAAATAAAACGGAAAGAACAGTTGCTAACGTAAACAAATGCTGTGTTTCAACAACCAATCAGACCTCCACTTTGCACTTGCAGGTTGCTTTTTGGACACATTATGTAGCAGAAATTTTTCTATACATAGTTTCTATGTCTATGTTGTGAAACCTCTTTGCAATTAAAGACACACTTGAAAATCATTAGCAAACAAAAAATTACTGTTTCTGAAGTTTATACGTACAGACTGCAAAGAAAAAACAGAACACCTTAATAACTTTTGCTCTAATGAACATATTTTAACCTACTAATATGCAATCTGAATAGTTCAAGGTGCTAATCGAAAATATTTCAACTATTAAGAGAGAAAATTTCATTTACAAAATGGGAATTAAGATAAATTAGAAAAAATTGCACACACAAGTATCCTTAATTCAATGGAAAAAAAAGAAAGAAAAAAAAACAGTTTTTTAAAATTTAATAACAGTTGAAAAATTACTTAATAGTAACTTAGTGAAAAAAATTTCCAAAATTAACTATAATTTTGATTGTCAAAATCAAGGAAATTTTAATTTCCACAAAATCTACCAAATAGATTTTGAGCAAAAAAACTATAAAAAAGTTGTACTTGTCAAATTTAATTTAGCGAAATTGTTTGAAGAAATTAAAAATGATATAAAAATTTGAGAACATTAAAAATTTAAACATCTTACATTATTAAAATAGATAATAAAAAATAAATAATTATTGAAAGCTATTTTTAGCATAAAATTATTATTGCAAATAATGGATTCAATATGTGTGTGCAATTTTATTTTCTTAAATCTCAAAATCTAAAATTTAAACTTAACTGGTTAATAAAGTTTCAGAGAAAAAAAATTTGCAAAACAATATTAATAAGTTGATGGTAATAAAAAATTATTTGATCGAAAATTACTTAATGGCAGAATGCGCAAACTGCAAAATTATCAGTAAGGAGACTAAAGTTTCAATTGCTCCACTGAAAGAATATCTGAAACCATAATTCCCAGATTTTATTTTACAACAGTCGTTGAACAGTCAACCCAATTTTCGGTTTACGACTACTAATGTTCAACTCCGTAGCCTTGTAATTTAGAACTAAATCCAGAAGACAAAGGAACTCCTGGATCAAGTATTTGGAAGAAATTTTGCTTTTGTGGAGGACTTTTTAGATGGAACTAACTCCATTTATATTACATGGAGAGGAAAACCACGAAAACCTCCCACTGTTAGCCTGTATCTAACCCATGATCTGTCTACCACTGAAGATATTTTTCATCAGCATTGTGATCGGTGCGAGCCGAGTGAGGAATTTGAATTGACCCGCCATTGCTGGGATTAGAAACCGGTTTACCTCATTGGAAGGTGAACACTCTATCCCCTGAGCCACCACGACTCATAATTCTCAGTTTGTGCCTACCCCTTTTCCTTTGAAGATTAAAATTACAAATTCATTAAAAAAAAAGGCATAATAATTTGGACAAAGTCTGTTTTTGTGGCTGATTTTGTAGTATCTGCACTAATAAATGGGCATATTAAAGAATCTTAAATTGAATCTTAAAAAAAGTTAAAAATTTGTCATTACACCAAAAGTTAATAAGGCACTCAGTATTTTATTTTGCCCACAGTGTAATCAATAGTAAAATAAATCATTTTTAATAGAATATTTGCAATTATCAAAAAAATAAGTTTTTTTTTCTTCCTTAAAGTGAGAGTTATTGATATTGGAAACATTTTAGTTTAATTAAATACATTAGTTAGGATAAATAATTACCTGGAGGTAAAATGTCTTGAGTTAATCTTGATGCAGCAATTGGGACAATAGTATTACAGTGAATATTGTACTTTTTACCTTCAATGGCTAATGTATTACTTAGTCCTATTAATCCCAGCTTAGCTGAAAACAAATAAATATTAAAAAATATAAACAATTATATTAAAAAACAAGAATTACTATTATGAACAAATATTTAGAAATAATTGCACATAATATATTAAAAATATGAATATAAGATCTAAAACACATGCAAAATAAACAGGTAATATTTGTAATACGCAAAAAATTTACAAGACACATATACAGAATGTTATTTTTTAAGCAATAAAAAAAAATAAAAGCTACAAGAAAATAACAAATTTATATCATTTTATTAATCAAGAAAGGTGAAAGAGCAGAAGTTATTTTACATATCACTTACCAGAGGAATAATTAGACTGTCCAAAATTTCCATAGATGCCAGCACCTGAGGCAGTCATTATTATTCTAAAATACAAAAAAGTTACTAATAATAATGAAGAATAATATACTAAAAAAATTAACAATGGTTTAGTACTGAATAATTTTTATAAATAAAGAGTTTTTTATTTAAAGTAATTCAAATTGATGAAAGTAAATTTTAAAAAAATTGAAAACACAAGCAAATTAACAAGTTCAATGATTTATTTCTTAAAAAAGTACAGATTTTTTGCACAAAAATATGACGATTATGTATTATGGACACAGTATTATGTTACAAAAGGATTAAAAGAGTATTACAGCATTATATTACAACACCAAAAACTTATGTTTGTGAAAATTGCAACACCATGAAAGACTTACGCGAGTGAGCTGAAATTTTCAGGAAATGTCAAGTGGAGCATAAAATGCAGATGATTAGAATTTTAGACCCGTAGCGCATGCGTATGCAGAACAGCGCCCTCTGAACTGCGGATGGATCCGAATAAATAGACGGCTGTAGCGAGGCGTGTATGGTTATCGGTGGTTATCTGCTAGTGGTAAACGTTAACTCAGGCGTTATGAATCTTCGACGAAAGAGAGTGAGATTTCAACAACTTACGCAGTTTGAAAGGGGGAGATCGGCTTTCGTGAAGCTGGATCAGGGTTCCCACTCTTTTATCAAAGCAAAAATTAAGCACTTTTAAGGACTTTTATCAAAAAAATTAAGGACTTTTTTGTAGAAATTAAGGACCCTAAAAATGATTATTTATCATCAAATAAAACATCATAGATTAATAATAATAGATAAAAAAAAATGAAATAACTTTTCTTCAACTCAGTCACCCTTTAAAAAATTTAAATAAAAAAACTAAATAAAGAAATGTTTAATACAAATAATCCGTCTTTAATTAAAATTAAATTGCATTTAATCGCCTCACATAAGCTTTTAAGAATATAAAGAAAAACTCAAAAAATTCAGATTAAACATTAAAATTTTCTATTTTAAAAATAGCAAGAAATTGTGTAAACAGATAGAAATATATAAATTATGACGGTAAATTCATTAAATTAATAAAAATATTATTTTGAGTGACTGATACTAAACCAAGACAAAAAGAAACTAACAAATATAAGTTTATTGAGGTTAAGACAATTATTTTAAACCAAGTAAAACCTAATTATAATAAGCTAAAGATATATTAAAATCACAAAATATAAAAAATTTAATGATTAAAATCAGAATATATTCAGTACCTAACGACTTAGATTTTTTAAAAATAATAATAAAAATGTTACAAAATATTTTACATACATTACAAATTTTAAAAAAAAGAAAATGTCCACTTAAATAAAACATTTTTTAAATTATTTGTTGAAAAAAAATGTGCTTTTGAAACATTGCTAGGCTTTTGTTAATTACTTATTTAAAATAATAAAGTTGTATTGACTAATGGTCAAATGGTTTAAATGCAAGTTTTTTTATTTATTTATTATTATTTTCCTTTCTGAAAATGAAATAGACTAAAGATTTAAATGCTTAAAAATAATACTCACTATCTGACAAATTATTAACGAACATGTATTGAAGGAATTTTTAAAAAAATATAGATATATATTCTATATTTAAGAGCACTATTGCTAAATTATGAAAAACGTTAAAACATTGCTTAACTTTTTACTTAATTTAAAAAAATTTAGTCATTTTAACTAACAACCAACTTAAAAAAAAGAAAGAAGGCAAACTCTGTTTCAATTTCCTCAAAAATAAAAGCAAATTAATTAAATGTAGGCTTTGTTCTAATTTTTTTAAACTAAAAGCGACTGAAGATTTATTGGTTTAAAAACTAATCAAATTATTATATTTAAAAAAATAAACTCAATGGCCCGACAGCCCATAGAGGGCCTAGGCCTATTGTGCCCATCTCAGTTTTCTTAACCTTGGGCTCTGAGGTGCAACGTGAATTAAATAAATTTAAAAAAAAATTTACTTTCTATGACAAAATATAAATTACTTAAATACAAAATATATAAAATATTAAATTGTATCACTTTTTAAAAAAATCAATAACGAATCTTTTTTTTTTAATTCATGATTTTGCTTCAGTAATATATTAAGTTCAGAACGAAAATTTAAGATAACAGCGATTGAGCAATGATCGCCAAGTAACAGTGGGTTTGCCGAAAATAATTGACAACGTTAAATCCAAACAGAAAAAAAAGTGACGAAATAATGCGCAACGATCGCTAAGTAGCAAAAGTCTCACTGAAAATAATTTACTTGAAACGTTATATCAAGTCGAAATAAAACGCACAGTGAACGCAAGATAAGTCCCGCTGAAAATAATCTTCAAGAAACGTAAAATCCCAAGGTCAAAGATGGCGCATAAGGAAACTATGCATCGCGTTCTATATTTCAACGCTGATCCTCACTCTTCGTTATTCAATATCACGAAACGAACATCATCTTCGTAGCTAAAAATGTAATTAACATCTTCACAGCTAGACGAAATCAAAATAGTCTTCGTCAGAGTGGTGATAGCGTTAGCATAGGCAAGAATCCTCGCACGTTAAACCGCGAGCGTCTTAGCTCAGATTCCTGATGCATCGCCTAAAATAAAAAAAGTAATTATATCGGCCTGCCGATATGTGCATTACGTCGATAATTGGCGATACATCGATTAGGCAAGAAAAACCGCGAGCGTCTTAGATCAGATTCCTGATGCACTGCCTAAAATAAAAGTAATTATATCGGCCTGCCTATATGTGCATTAAGTCGATAAATCACGATACATCGATTTAAAAATGTCTAAGAGTAGCGCTCTTTAAAATTGCCGCATCATAACAAAAACAAGAGCTTTTAAAAAAAATGGGAANAGATCAGATTCCTGATGCACTGTCTAAAATAAAAGTAATTGTACATTAAGTTGATAAATCGCGATACATCGATTTAAAAATGTCTAAGAGTAGCGCTCTTTAAAATTGCGCATCATAACAAAAACAAGAGCTTTTTTTAAAAATAAAAAAAAAATGGGAAAGCCAAACGAAATAAAAACAAAAAAATCATTCTCAATTTTTATAAGAAAAATTTAACGTTGAAAATTACACTTTAAGTGTTTCCCATCGCCGGATTTTTAGAAAAAATGACGAAAAAGAAGCTCTTTAAAATATGCTATCAAAATAAATAAAAAAAACACAATTAATCAAAAAAGCAAAGGAGAAACAGAAAATTTTCCTAAATTCTTAAGACAAAACTTGCAACTCAGAAATTCAATTTTCTATTTTACCGGTAATTTATTTATCTGTATAACTTTCAAAGAAAAAGTGGAGATAAAATATATCAGAAACGCTGTTAAATTGCCGTGCTATGAAATAAAAAAACCCAGCAAAAGTGAAAACAGAAAGCAAACATTTCACTCTTTTTATAAAAAAAGTGTCCATGAGAAAATGACGAAAATGACTTTCCTGATTAAAATTATACTTCGCCGAATATTCTTAATATCCCTAATATTTAAAAAATGGAGTCACTTATAAAATTTAATTTCAGAAGAAAATCTGATACAATGAAAAAATCCACTTTGCCTTGCGACGATCACTAGATGCTGATCCATTCCTTATATTTTTCATCAAGTGTCCATAAATTATTAAAAACACACTTTCCTGGCATTTCTAACAATTTCACATTCGAATGAAGTATTAAAGCTACCACGTGTGCTATCAGAAGAATTGAATTTCTCGAACCCTATGGATGTAGAAGGTCAATGCAGGTCCTCAGCTGATAAAGTACCTCTAAGTACTGCCTAAAATTAAGTCAAGCCCTCTACCCACCTGCAGTATCACGCTCCCTTTCCCCACACTAAATTATTTCTTTCAGAGTGATCCAGAAAGAAATATTTTAATGAAAAAATTAATAAAAGAAAAAAAACAATATGGACGTGTTTTCTTCCACTTGCTTGTAACCCCTACCCTCACATGCATTCAAAATATTCTACCCTCAATGCAGGGTCTCATTCTAGGCGAAAGACGTACTTTTTAATTGTGGATATTTTCCTAAGATAAAAAAATTGTTCCAACCAACTAGTGATACTAGAAATTAAGGACTTTTAAGGACCGTGAATCAAAATTAAGTACTTTTAAGGGCCCTTAATTTTCAAAATAAAAACTAAGCAGTTTTTAAGGACTTTTAAGGACCGTGGGAACCCTGTGGATGGTCTTATTGTGCAGTAGCTGCTCATGTGCAGCGTAAATGCAGCACAGTGATGTGTGTTTGGAAGCAGTGGACAGACGAGTGTCAGTCATCTCGGAAATTCGGCAGAGGACCTCGAAATGTCACGTCAGCTCGCGATGATAGACACCTGGTCCGAATGGCGCTGACAGACCGTAGGGCACCCTCTAGACAACTGGCAGCGCAGTGGTCAATAGCTACAGGTGTTTCATTGTGTGCTTCATCAATTTGTAGACGTCAACTGCAGTGTGGACTGCAATCAAGGACTCCTTTATACAGGATCACCAACACGCTAAACGATAGCCGCCTGCGGCTACAATGGGCTATTAAGTACAGGGACTAGCGTGCTGATTGGCAGCGTGTCATGTTTTCTGACGAATCCCACTTTAATTTGTGGTACCATGATGGCCCCATTCGTGTCAAAAGCTATGCCGGTGAATGCCACCTTCCAGAGTGCATTATCGAACGCCACAGTGGACGAACACTCAGAGTTATAGTCTGGGGTGCCATAGCATATCATGGACGATCTCAATTGCTACAAATTTTGGGTAATCTGAACAACAATCAGTACATCAGTAAAGTTTTACAGCCCCAAGCTGTTCTCTTCCTTCAAGCCTTGCCAGGTGCTGTATTTCAACAAGACAATGCCTGCCCTTATATTGCTAGAACTGTTCAATCCTTCCTTGCATTGTGGCAGGTACAGCTTTTTCCTTGGTCTGCGTATTCCCCAGATATGTCACCAATTGAACATGTGTGTCATTTTGTTGGTCGGTGCCTCGCTCGTAATCCTCGTCCTGTTACTTCTACAGACGAACTTTGGGTACGCATACAAACAATATGGAATACTCTTCCTCAGATAGACATTCAAAATTTGCTTGACTCCATGCCACGTCGTGTAGCAGCGCTTATTGCGGTGCATGGTGGCTACACAAAATACTGATTTCGATCTCTTATTGTTTGCTTTGAAAGTTTAAGCATTTATTTGTACCACTACCACTCAACTGTGTAGTAAATTTCATTCAATTATGACAATTCCTTCATGGTGTAGCAATTTTCACAAACATGAGTTTAGTTTGCTACCAATGTGATATTTTTTTTCAAATGAGGAAACCAGGGTTTGTTGATTTTAATCAACTTGATTTAAATCAAATGATTTTTTTTTTAAATCATTGATTTAAATAAACTGATTTTATTATTTCTATATTGATATCAAAAGTAAAAAAACAGCGTTTCAAATTATTGATACTTTTATTATTTTTTTCTTAGTTTTAAAATTTATTTTAAATAAATTGCTGCATAAGTTTTAAAATTTATTATTGCTGCATTAATTAATTTAATTAATTTTAGTTAACGAAATTACTTTCTTTCTAGGTATGTGTTAAATTCCAACACATTTGAAATTACATTTTTAAAAATCTTTTCATTCTTGAGAATGAAAGTACAGATTAAAGTAAACATTTAATGCTGTCTTAATATAGACTTGCATAGCTGTAGAAATTAATTAATAAACATTTATGAAGTTTTTTTAGTCATAAATCAAACTTCATACACTGCAATTGAATAAAAAAAATCTGATTTAAATGAAATAAAAAATCAGATTTGAATATAAAAAAAAATCTGATTTTTTTTATTTTTTAAAAAAAAAATCACAAATTCTGGAGGAAACATACAAAACAGAAATTACATTGTAAAAAAAAAATTAAGGAGCCATTATTAAAAACCGTTTAAGATAGTCAAATTAAAGGATTGGGACGCAACTGTAAATCGACTGCATAAGATTGGTGTGAAATTTCTTCCCACTTTTTATAGTAAGCAAAATAAAATGATTTAAAAAGATAAAAATTTCTTAAACTTGCCTTCCATATCCTTGCTTTCTGAAGTAAGGCCAAGCAGCCTTTGTTACCATAAATGATCCCCTCAAGTGGACTTTGTGTATAATGTCTAGATAGGAAAAAAAATTACATCAAAATTGATCAAAAATAAAATGCAACGCAAAAAATAGTTAATAATTTTTTTAAGTTAATAATTTTTAATTTTCAATAAGTTCATAATTTTCCTTAAACAGCATGTCACAAAAATTATGCAAGAAGGAATTTTGATTAGAAAAAGCTACTTAACTATCCTATTCTTTTGTTAGCATCATTTTATAACAAAAATGTTGAAAAATTCAAATTTTACAGGATTTTAGGACACCCAGTACTTTACAATGTTAAACAATAATAAGTTAATAATTTTTTCTGTAATATTTTTTCGAATAAGTTAATAATTTTTTCTGTAAACAGCATGCCACAAAAATCATGCAGAAGGAATTAAGATTAAAAAAAGCTATTTAGCTATCTTATTCTTTTGTTGGCATCATTTTATAACACTAATGGGGAAAAATTCAAATTTTATAGGATTTTTGGGACACCCTGTACAAAACAATGCTAAACAATAATAAGTTAATAATTTTTTCTGTTAACAGCAAGTCAAAAAAATCATGCAAGAGGGAATTTTGAATAAGAAAAGCTATTTAGCCATCTTCTTCTTTTGTTGGCTTCATTTTATAACACAAATGGGGAAAAAAAATTATAATTCAAATTTTATAGGATTTTTGGGACAGTACTTTACAATGCTGAACTATAGAAAATATTAAAATAAGAAAATTATGGTAGCATTATCAAATATACAACATAAAAAATTTTAAAAAACTTTTTTAACTTCTGGCAAGAAAAAAAAATGATAGAACTACAAAAAGAATAATGATTAAAAGTAATTTTCTTGGCATAGCATTAAATTGAGTCATAAATGACTTCAAGTATTTCCTGTAGCTCACAAGTTTGAGTCTGCACTTATCAAACTAAATGGAACTAAAATTAAAATGTAATTTATTCATAGCATAGTTATTAAAAAAAGATAATAAAAACTTGCTTGTTTAAAATACAAGTAAAAAAAAATTCATCTATCATCAAAAAATAATCTATATATTTTTTTAAAATCATATTTTTTGTCAACCCTGGCAAGAATTGAGAGGTTTGCTTGTTAGCCATGGAGATCTGAAAATTTCAGTGCATTGTGAAACAAAAGGAAGTAACTAAGTGATTTTTAAGCTCTACAATATAAGTTTAGAGCTTGTATGGATCTTTGACATTAGGCAGAATACACATTAGACATTAGGCAGAATTTATTTTAAATATTTGAACTGAAACTTGCCCCCAAGTACTTACCCCATTCTTCATTGGTTATATTAAGAAATGACTTGTCTCTCAAAATGCCAGCATTGTTGATCAGAATATCTGCAAATGATTAAACACATTTTCTATAACACAATTCAAATAAACAACTGTGAAATATAGAATTTAAATTGAAATAGCTCTTACGTTTGACACGAGCTAAAAATAAAATATAATTACACTGAATTAGCTAATATTTTATTGACAGAATAATTAATGTTGTCTCAATGGATTAACTAAAATTTTATTAATAGCCAAAATTAAAAAAAAATCATTGATGAAAAGTTATCACGTTTACTTTTTATCAAAGTAACGTGTTTGAAAAATCATTCAATGTAAAACATTTAATGCAACACACAAAAAGTTTAAATGTAATATAGCATAGCTAATTTTTTGCACTGAAAAAAAAAAAACATTGACAAAAATGTACTTTTTTTTTTACACAAAAACAAAAGTTTCTCACTCAAAAATTACAGTTGAAAGCATATTTAACCTTTTAGCACGCACGCTCAGCAACTTTACGTGAGCTTGCACATAGTCTTATGACAGCTGCTATTTTATCGTTTTTGGCACAGAAATGAATGAATATTGATAATAAATTTGTCAAGAAATGAAAAAATAACCTTATTATTGCTAAATATAAAAGAAATCACACTCAAATGAAAGAAAATTATTTTGAATTTAATAGTCAGGTAGAAAAGCAATGCTATATTTTATTACAGATAATTTAAAATTTATTAGTTAATAACAATATTTTAAGTTACGAAATCAGACACAAAGACGTACTTTCTCTGAATAAACATACCTTTTTTTTTTGTGTGGATAGATTCGGATTTTTGACCCTCAAAATATAAGGAGTAGGAGATATGGTCTTAATAGTTTGGTTAGGAGAGCACTCCAAAGTCTTGACCCCTTAATAATTTCACTTTGTGCGTATTTTGCTACAGCTCGAGAACTTTTTAAATGAATTAAAACATTTTTGCACCCAACTATAACATTTATTTATCCAAAGATAATTCCATGCAAAAAATAACCTTTAGTAAATATTTATAATTTTTTATTTAATAATAGTTAAAAAGTTCTTAATTGCAAGGTATACATCATTTTAAAAAATGTAATTTGATCTGACAAAAGTTGAGTGAAATCCTCTGAACAGCTCCTGAGAAAGCAAGTTTTAAAACCTTTTTTTTTGTTTATCTTTTTTGCGCACTGTACATAAGTGATGTTACATTATTTTTATGGTAAGTATCCCTTAATCTAGCAAGTAACCATAAAAATATTTATGAAATTTAAACTCATTATAATTATGATAATTTTAAACTAGCATTAATTGAAATTTAAAAATGTTAGTTCAGGTCGTTTATAAATGAAATCGTATATTGCAGATTTCTTTTATCTACAAAAAATCTTGATTTAAAAAGAAGACAACACTATCTTTTAAAAGAAAAACAATAACACAAGTTATTCCTAATAAAAGAAAAAAAATTTACAATTTAAAAAAGTTGAATTACTACTTTTAATTCACATACATTGCATCAAAACTAGCATCAGATTTAAATATGATGGAAATAAAGAAATTTTTTGTTTTTCAAAAATTGTAACCACCTAAAAATATTTCATCAAAATAATAGCGAAAACAAATATCTTACCCAATCGTCCAAACTTGTCTATGGCAGTCTTAACTATCTTTTCCCCCTCTTCAACAGAATCTAAAGAGAGTGTCCACATTAATGAACAAATTTATATTAAATGTTTGAAAATCTAATAACAGGATGACAAAGAATTATACAAAAAAAAATTTATTTTTTGAAGTTTATTAATCATTAAAAGACATGAAAAAATTCAAAGTAAAATAAGTGTAAAAACAATCCTTATGGAGATAAATAGGAGAGAGTTGTTGATGAATGCTTTATGCATTTATTTTTTTCCTTTAGGTTCATGGTTAAGTAATTTTAGATTTTTTACTCTTCTTTTAATAATTTTCCTTAAGCATTTAGAAACATATTTTTCATTTCCAGAACATTTTGTTTCAATTTTGCAATGAATTTTATTATTTAAAATAACCTCATATAACAAGTGTTGATGTTGAAAAGATTCTTAAAAATAAGAATTTTCTTTCAGACAAAAGGTGAGCTTTTAGTTTGGAGAATATCAAAAAGCAACTGATAACAAATGCAATTTAGAAGATTGTAAATGAACAATTAATACATTTCTATTTATCTTTCTAAGTTATTTATTTACATTTTACTTCAGTCATAAATTATATATTTATTTTAATTATTACCTTATTTTTAACTAAATTTATAAATACAAGTTATGATTTGTAATTTTTTTTTATAAAGAAAAAAGCTGAAACACTTAAACGTGTTTCGGCTTTTTATCAGCTTTGACATTATCTTTCAATTTTTAAGAATTTTAAGGTTATCAACATTTAAGCTCTGACAATAAGATATTCAGTGGAAGAAATCAAGAAAATTTAGTTGCTGGTTCAAAGGTGTAGTAACTAAATTAGATTTCACTTATCTTTACCTAATTTCATAGGTCTCTTCACAAATTGCCATTAGATTTTTAAAAAATTCCTTAAATTTATGAAACAAAGATAAGCAACTGGAAGGAAAAAGAGTAAAGAACATGAATTGAAACTCAGACTATAGTGCGGCATTGAGGGGGGCCCCTTCAGACTTAAAGTCTGGGGCTGTCTATTGCCTGGGTAACAAGCGATAACCCATTTCTAATAGGGGTGCAATGGAGGAATAAAGGTGTTGATTGGTTTACTCTTAATGATCTATGCCAAGATTAAGACAAAACTAATCACCATACATGCCTATTCAAAGTGACTTTTCTTCGAAACCATAGTACCCACCATGATGCGAGACTGATGTCTGAAGGAGTTCTACTAAAAGCCGCACTGAACGCATTAATAAAATTTTTGTTGTTCAACTGCTGATGGCACCATGAAACCTTTCTTGCTATTCTATTTTATTTTCCTTCAACGGAGAACACTGAGGCATGTGCAAAATAGGAAGAGCTGAAATTTTGTTGTTTCACATGCCTAAAAAAGATAGGCATGCCATTTGGTTAAAAACCCTTAATATTTGACTCAGACTGCCTTAATAACTCCATTGCAAATATTATTATTAAGTAGGTAAGTATATCAATGGTCCCTTGGACAAACAATCAATGTAAAGAGATGGTATACTGTTTTGTTTCGGTATTATGTTTTAGTGTGTTTTTGTATATTTCATCAAAATAAAACATGTCTCATTTTTTGTACATATTATAATCTTTTATTTAAATTTATAACTTATTCTTTAAAAGAAAATCTAGTAAACATGCAGAAGGGGCACTGAAAATTTGTACATACCAGTAATGAATCAGTAACTAAATTTTTTTAATTGATCTATGTATTTATTAAGTAATGTATATATATGTGTGTTAAGATAATCACAGCAAATTTCAGATTTTTTTATAAACTTATCTAAAATTAAATTGCTATAATTAAAATGAATTTAAATCACATTAATTATTTCGTATTTTGTTCCTTTGGAATAAACTAATAACTTGCAAAGTAAATAATTTTTTACTAATTAATAATAATTTGTATTGATTAATTAATAAAATTATGAATTAAGAAAAAAATAGAAAATTTACACACACCATAATTTGGGACTGCTTTTCCTCCTTTGGCTTTTATTTCTTTCACAACTGCATCAGCAGCAGATGAACTTTTTCCTTCTCCACTACGGGTACCACCCAAATCATTAACTAGGAAAAAAAATCATACAAAATTAAGTAAAATGAATGAACAAATATCACAGTAAAATGTGTAACAGTGCTACTACTATTAAAAAAAAAGTCATCAAAATAATTATATGATAACAAAACATAAATGAACCCAAAGTTGATAATTCATCTGGAAGGAATCTATTTTTTTTCCAGAATACTGACTGAAAAAAAAAACAAAAAAAAAAAAAATCATAATTNCTAAAAAAAAAAAAAAAAACAGTAATAACTAGATAAAAATGACAAATACAATTAATTTTTTGAGCAATAAATAGTATAAATTTTAAATTTATGGAAGGAAAATCTAATATAGTACCAATGAGTTGAAAGTGTCACAAACCTACATTTTTTTTTAAAATTACTATTTTTATATTATTTACTTTAGCTTAATATATTTGGTTTGAATATTCCAGGGACAGCAGCCAAAATTGTCAAAAAATAGGAGAATTTAAAAATAAAAAAAAATAGGAAAAAAATGGAGTGTTGAAAAACAAAAATTTCACTTTTAAGTAACTTATAAATTTTCATGAATATTAATTTAAAGCATAAAAAATATCTACTTCCCTACAGAGCCAATATAAATTTTAAAAACAGTAATTATAAATAAAATTGCTAAAAAGATAAAAAATTCTCTGAATAAGACAAATAATTTACTATCTACTCTTTTCATTGAAGCTTTAACAATATAATTATGATGCATAAGTAATATAATATACAATTTGTCTAAATAATATATTATTCCTTCTAAGCAGTATCCAATAATAAAAATCAGTGTGTCATTAGTAATAGTGAATTTAATAAGTAGTATACGAGTATATGTCTAGTTTGTGATTTTTTAATTCAGTTGCATTAATTAAATCTGATTAACAGTTCTTTATATAATTATAGAATTGCTATATGTTTCTAATTTTAAAAAAGAGTTAAGCAAAGTAGTGTCTTTGAAAAAAGCTAATTTACATTTGCAATACATTGCTCCAGATGGATTATACAGTAATTGTAAAAGAAAAATATACTACCAACAACAGATGCTCCTCGCTCAGCAAGAAGTAATGCATATTCTCTGCCTAACCCTAAAAATAAAAGATAAATAAGTAAATTGTATTTTTAATGGCTAGACAGCAAAATGTCTCGCAAGGCTTAAGATTATATTTATCATAATTAAAAGCAAATAGCCGCGGAAGAAAATTTTCGTCACAAATTCTCTTTCGTAACTAATTTAAAAGAAAGAAAAAGTAGGTTCAGGCAAACCTAGAGTAAGTCGTGAAGTTTCAATTGCTGAAAAAAATACTTCAAAATATTAAAATGCAAATAAATTATTAGAAGAGAACTTCCATGTTGCATAATCCTAAGTTATATTCTCATAATTTATTTCCATTTGTATATTTTAAATTTCTTTTTTCAGTATGCGAAACTTTATGACTCACTCTAGGTTTGTCGGAACTCACTTTATCTACACTTTAAATTTTAATTTAGTAATGAAAGAAAAGGAGAATTTGTGAGGAAAATTTTCTTCTGCTGTATGGCATCCTCATAAACTTTAATTTTTCTACTTCATCTGTACAGCAGATACAAAATAAAATGATTAGTTAATAGTAGGTAATATTTTATATTCTATTCTGAAATAACAAGAGTATTTTTTTTGACAAGAGCAATTGTGTATACATTTTTAACACCTTAAAGCCATCATATAGACTTTCTAATTGCATCTATATTGTTCTATAGAGATATGGAAGAGAGGGGTAACTCATCCTCAATTTGTTAGTTAAATAGCTGAAATTTACAAATAACAAACAATAAGGGGTGGTCCATAAATGTCCAGCTTGGACAGAAGGGATGAAATTTGGACAGTTTGTGACAAGGGCATTTGAGCAGTGTCATTGTTGTGTCCCTCTGCAAGATTTATAGATCTATCTTAAACTCCTCACAAATTTAAAATTGCAATATGAAAACATTATGGAGAAGAAACATATGCGTATTTATAATCAATTATTCTATTTAAATTTAAGATAATGAGAGTCATAATTGTGATGAGAAGGCAAAATTTAGAAAAGAATTGAAACCTTGTAAACAATTACCACTTGAAATGAAATTAATTTTAGTAATATGAGAAAATATCTCATGAGTAAAGGGAACTAAAAAGATAGTGAATATCAGCATATATTTTGATTTAAATATAATAAATGCTTGATTTTTATATTCATTTTTTAAATTTCAATTTTAAATTAGCAATAGTTTGAAAATTCAGCATAATTTTAAAATTGATTTTAACTTGGATTTTATGACACCTAAGTTCAGCAACAGGAGACAACTCCTAGTATTATCTATTGCTGTAGAATAATTTGTACCATTTAAATTCTGGTATTTTAATGAATTTCCTTCAATTTTTCAGCTAGAACAAATTTTCTGACTTGTCCATGTGCTATTGCCACCATGTTCACATTATCTTTTAAAAACAAACTGACAATCTTTTAAAAATTAGCTCGTTAATCCTAAGATATTGTTGCATTATTTTATATAAAATTTATAAATTAACTGCTGTCTCTTCCTATCCATGAGGACTCAGTGAGAGGAAAAATAAGTTCTGTCTTATCTAGTCTATTTCTTTCAGATTTTTATCTCTCTATTTAGATTGTGGCTTTAAATGCAGACAATAGTCAGATTGACCTTGAAACTGAAATTGCAAAACAATAAAATAAAAATGAAAAGCACAAAACATGTTGATATAGATCTAAATAATTCTTTTAGTAGATTATTTATTTATTCATTAAAGAAATTACAACACACCTATGCATTAGAGTAGTATTTTGCCTCCAAGATTAAATTAAAGTTTGTCAAAAATTTAAATAAAAAATAAATCTAAAAACTGATTTCATTTGTAAAACAGAGATAAACCAAAACTAAACATGAGTTTCCCAGAATAAACTTTTTTTTAATTCCTTTAACTAAAAAATTAACAAGGTCAAAATTCTGGTGCTGCATTTATTGCAGTGTGATAATTTTTAAAATAATTTTTTTATCTATAACCAGTTAAAATATAAAATAAATTAATATTAAATTGTTAAATCAATAAATAAAAAATAGTTCTTTCATACAAAAGTTCGCTATTATGAGTTTTAAAATGTAAAAGTTCTATGTTCTTCTTATGCAAAAGTTCTTTTATGTACAATACAAATAACAAAAAATGTCAGCACTGTATATATCTTATCAAATTGATTTTGAACATCCTTTAATTTTTTCCTTCTGTCATAATTAAACTGATTGCTAATTTTTTAGTTTACTATTTAATTTCAAGAGATTAATTATGAACATAGAGGCTATGAAAAGATGTATTAAAAAATTGTTCCCTGAACAGCCAGAAATTAATATCAAGACATATTTATTTTCATGAGAAAAAGTAATATAATTCAAATCAAAGATCATTTTTATTTCCTTGGAATTTTTGACAGATTAAATTCAAAGTTTAACTGTTTCAACTTTTCAATGAGACAAAATTTCAAAATCATCAAAAGCATATATTTGATAACAGTCAATAATGAAGCTAGACTTGGAACAACAAATTGGGACCTCGTCAATTCTTTCCCGTCAATGTCTAGGATCTTTTTAACTAGAAAGAATTTGAAAATAGCATTTTTCTTTTAATGATATTTTATGAATAAGCTTGTTTCAAGCAAATTTAAAATAAATAAATGTACTAAAAGGAAGACTAAGATAATAGGACCACTTAAGATAGTTTTTGTTGTAAAAATATTTATAAAAACTACAATATAAGAGCATATTATACATAGAGAAAAAAATTATTAATTTATAGATAAAAATTTGTGATTCATTAATTAATTAAAATTGAAAACATTTAAAAAAAATGTGAATACAAAAAAAATTGAAAAAAATTTTATTTTTATGAAAAAGTTTAAATTTTGTAACAGAAAAATCTGTATAGAGGTTTGTCCAGGGGGGATATTTCTGTATCGTGATGCGTCCCACCAACTACAATCGCCAAGGTGCTAAATTGATTTTAAATTTGCAATTTAAAAAAAAAGAAGTATATGTTTGCCCGGGGGTTGTTACGAGTTATATTTTTCGAGTTGGTCCCTATCTGTTATGTTTTTTAAGGGATATTTCCGTATAATGATCTGTTGCACCAACTACAATCACCAAGGTGCCAAATAGATTTTAAACTTGCACATTTTTTAAAAAAAAAAAAGGAGAGATTTGCCCGGGGGTACTCCCTTTCTGTGATTTTTTTTAAAGTTTCTTGCGGGCCACTGCCCGGAAGTTGCCAAGACTTGGGGATCATTTTACCACATATCAGGATATGGAAATCTCCCCTTTTTTCAGTTTCTTGCTGCCCGTAAGTTGCGAAGACTTGGCAATTAATCTGCCACAGATCAGGAATACAGAAATATCCTCTACATTTTACAAGTAAACATACATGATGTTTTTTTTATAAAATATGTGAATTTTGCAATGCCAAAGTAAAAAAAAATTCCCACTCACCCTAAATTCACTGAATGTTTAAGTAGTTATTTTGACATGAATTTTAAATTAGATTATTATTCCACATTCCAATATTGATTATATATAGAATGTTTTATAAAGTACATGAGCATAAAATTTCCCATTCCCATTATGAGAAGCATTTTCCTTTCACGCTAAATTTATCTAATATGTAAAAATACGTCAACATTTCGATTATTATTCTCCAGTCTTTCTATTGATTTCATATAGAATGTTTGTAAATAATTTCGCAATGTCATTCTGAGAAACATTTTCCTCTCACACTAAAATTATCCAATATTTAAATAGATATTATAACATTAATTTCATTATCATTATATTTTAATAAATACTTTACCTCCCCCCGCTCCAGTAACGATAGCAACTTTTCCAGCGAACTTCAAAGGCCCCATCTCAAAATGAATATTCTCTAAGGGTATGAGGATATTCTTTGGAGGAAATCCTGATACACACTGCTGCGATTTGTGTTAAAAAAATATTTTAACTAATGACAGGTAACTTTTATGTCACGTGGCTCACTTGTTTCAAAGAGCAGTCAGTAGAAAACAAAAATTATTTTGAAAACTGGAACTACTTCTTGGTTCGGTTCAATGATAACAATCGTATCTGATCTTCCGTATCGTATCAAATTCAGTTTTAATCGTATCTTATCAGTCACTTATTTATCGAATTATTATACACTTTATCAGCTGCAGCTTTATTTTGTTATACAGTTTAAATGGAAATTATCAACTAAATTATTTAAAATTTCGAAATATTTTTCACCAGAAGTGCTGTAAGTCTCATACATGTGATCTGAACGAATCGCAACTCTCCTATACGCCATCTGGGTAGAAAACTGGTTCCATGTTTTGACCTTCCTCTCCTCTTCTCAGTTGTATAGAAATTTACTATATTTTCCCCTATCTTAATATTTTTCGTATTTCATTATCAGAAATATTTTTTTTAAAAATTTCCATGAATTTTTTTTAGAACTATGCTCAATGTAGTTTTCAGTTAAACATAGTTTCCTAACTTAAAAGTTATTAATATATTTAAAAATCAAGACGGAAACTGACGCAGTTCCTTCTCCTACGTAGAGTGTTCTGCTCTACACCACCTGTAGCCAGGGCCGGATTTACGTATAAGCTAAATAAGCTGTAGCTTGGGGCCCCGAGATGGCAAGGGCCCCCAGATCCAACTTTTTCCTTAATTTTTTAAAGTTTTATTCGGAGCTGGAGCCCTCTGAAGCCTAAAATACATTTTTTTTTCTTTTTTACATTGGCGAACGCTTTTCAAAATGTAATAGAAGTGTTTGCAAATATAAAATAATTGTTACTCTTCACTTTTCTAACCAAAAGAGCAATAAAAAGGCCTGTTGACTGATGAAAATATCCTGTAGCCTTCGTAGCTACCAGTGATGAGAGTAGTCCATGGATCCTAAAAAGCAGTACTCTAGACTCCATGGAGTAGTCAAACAGCCGCCTCAATTTACACTGTGGAAAATGTTTTCAGCTTCTTTAAATTGCTGTGGGCTCTTTTGTCCTTCTCCACAGAAACACCCTTTTGTCTGATTTCTGGGCAAAAAATTTCTAGGGCTGTGTGNAAAAAATACTTCAAAATATTAAAATGAAAATAAATTATTAGAAGAGAACTTCCATGTTACATAATCCTAAGTTATATTCTCATAATTTATTTTCATTTGTATATTTTAAATTTCTTTTTTCAGTATGTGAAACTTTATGGCTTACTCTTAGTTTGTCTGAACTCACTTTTTCTACACTTTGAATTTTAAATTAGTAATGAGGGAAAAAGAAAGGAGAATTTCTTCTGCTGTATGGCATCCTCATAAACTTTACTTTTTTTACTTCATCTGTACAACAGATACAAAATAAAATTATAATTAATAGTATGTAGTATTTTATATTGTATTCTGAAATAACAAGAGTATTTTTTTTTTTTTTGATAAGGGCAATTGTTCCAAATTTTTAACCCTTTCAAGCCATGCCTTCTAATAGCATCTATATTGTTCTATAGAGATATGGCAGAGAGGGGTAACTCATCCTCAATTTGTTTGTTAAATAGCTGAAATTTACAAATGACAAACAATAAGGGGTAGTCCATAAATGTCCAGCTTGGACAGTTTGTGACAAGGGGGTTGGAGCAGTGGCATACACAGACTATGACGCCTCCCTCCGCAAGATTTATAGATCTACCTTAGACTCCCAACAAATTCAAAATTGTAATATGAAAACATTACGGAGAAGAGACATATGGGTATTTGAAATCATTTGTTCTATTTAAATTTAAGATAATGTCATAAAGTCATGATAGTCATAATTGTGATGAGAAGGCAGAATTTAGAAAAGAATTGAAACCTTGTAAACAATTACCACTTGAAATGAAATTAATTTTAGTAATGTGAGAAAAAACTCACTAAGTTACAATAATTATATTCAAAGTTTAGTTAGGGGTTATTATTTATAAAGGGAACTAAAAAGAGTATAACAGCATACATTTTGGTTTAATATAATAAATGTTACATTTTTATAATCATTTTGTTCATATTTATTCTTCATGTTTATTCCATTGTCATATTTATTCTATTTAAATTTAAGATAATAAAAATCATAATTGTGATGAAAAGATAGAATTTAGAAAATTGAAACATTGTAAGAAAATTGAAACATTGTAAACAATTACCACTTATATTAAAATTAACATTTAGTAATATGAGAAAATATCTCATGAGTAAAGGGAACTAAAAAGATAGCGCATAACAGCACACATTTTGCTTTAAATATAATAAATGCTTGATTTTTATATTCATTTTTTAAATTTCAATTTTAAATTAGCAATAGTTTGAAAATTCAGTGTAATTTTAAAATTGCTTTTAAATTGGATTTTATGGAACCTAAATTTAACAACAGGAGACAACTCCTAGTATTATCTATTTTTGTAGAATAATTTGTACAACTTAAATTCAAGTATTTTAATGAATTTCCTTAATTTTTCCAGCTAGAACAAATTTCCTGACTTGTCCATGTGCTATTGCCATATTGTAAATTATTTTTAAGATTATATGAACAATCTTTTAAAAATTTGCTCGTTAATGCTAAGATATTGTTACATTATTTTATATAAAATTTATAAATTAACTGCTGTCTCTTCCTATCTATCATGACTCAGTGAGAGGAAAAATAAGTTCTGTCTCACTTATCTAGTCTATTTCTTTCAGATTTTTATCTCTATTTAGATTGTGGCATTAAATGCAGACAATAGTCAGATTGACCTTGATACTGAAGTTGCAAAACAATAAAATAAAAATGAAAAGCATAAAACATGTTGATATAGATCTAAATAATTCTTTTAGTAGATTATTTATTTATTCTGTAAAGAAATTACAACACACCTATGCATTAGAGCAGTATTTTGCCTCCAAGATTTAATTAAAGTTTGTCAAAAATTTAAATAAAAAATAAATCTAAAAACTGAATTCATTACCATTATTTCATTTGTAAAACAGATATGAACCAAAACTAAACATATGTTTCCTAGAATAAACTTTTTTTTAATTCCTTTAACTGAAAAATTAACAAGGCCAAAATTCTTGTCTTCCATTTATTGCAGTGTGATAATTTCTAAATTTATTTTTTTATCTATAACCAGTTAAAATATAAAATAAATTAAAATTAAATTGTTAAATCAATAAATAAAAAAATAGTTCTTTTATACAAGTTTCAAAATGTAAAAGTTCTATGTTCCTTTTATGCAAAAGTTCTTTTATGTACAATACAAATAACAAAAAATGTAAGCACTATATATCTTATCAATTTGATTTTAAACATCGTCTAATTTTTTTTCTTCTGTCAATAATTAAACTGATTGCTAATTTTTTATACTAACATTTAAATTCAAGAGATAAATTATGAATACAGAGGCTATGAAAAGATGTATAAAAAAATAGTTTTAAGGTTAGTAAAGGATAGTTAGATAGTATAAAAAGATAGTTTTTGTTGTAAGAATATTTATAAAAATTACAAAATAAGAGCATATTTTGCATAGTGAAAAAAATTATTAATCTATAGATAAAAATTGTGATTTATTAATTAAAATTTAAAACATTTAAAAAAATGTGAAAACAAAAAAATTTAAATGAATTTTATTTTTATGAAAATGTTTAAATTTTGTAACAGAAAAATTTGTATAGCTGTTTGTCCAGGGGGGATATTTCCGTATTGTGCTGTGTCCTGCCAACTACAATTGCCAAGATGCTAAATTGATTTTAAACTTGCAATTTTTTAAAATAAAAAAAGTATATGTTTGCCC